GGGGGACTTGGTGAAGGGGGGAACATAGTAAACATAATGTTCTTTCTGTAATTGTAGATTAATGATACCAAAAAAAAGTATTTCTTCCCATCATATGTGTGTGAATGTAGTAAATGCCCACATGTGACAGAGACACAAAATTAGTGATCTGATGGTGGAGACGTAATACTGTCCAGAAACAGATGAGTATATACATAGTTGCATATGGGGCAATTTCTCTGAAAAATGGCTCCACTTCATGCTCCTTTCATTAAGTACAACATTCACGCCAGGGCCTTTTTATCTCCTTGTTGTCTGTTTTCTATGCAGTATCCTTTCCATCTAGCCAATTGGTGACAGACTTTCTTGATAGTCTTGGCTTCAAAGACAAAATGGCACTGCTACTCATGTCCCTGTTTCTTAACTGAACTAAGTGGATCCATCTAACCACAGAGGTCTGAGAAATGTGATCCTACATGTTCAAGAATTTTCATTAAAATCTGCTCCTTTTTCAAGTAGCAATGACATGGAGACATTATCATATAAGCTTTGCTCTTCTTTCTCACAATGCTTTTCAATTCAGCCTTTTTGTTTTAGTAAAAATTTAAAAATTTTGTATTTATGTCTGTTAAAAGGACCATTGAAATTTCAACAGGGATGGCACTGAAAACACTCAGGGATTTTGGTAGTATTAACATTTTGACAATATTAATTCTTCCAACCTATGAATGTCGGATACCTTTCCATTTGTTTGTGTCTTTAGAGATGTATCTGTTTATTCTGATAACATCTTATTTATCTTAATATTTGTGTTCCTTGATGCCTTATGTTGGTATGTGACATTCTATTATGTAGTTCTTGTTCCAGAATTTTCAGTTTTGCTCAGGCAGAGACAGTTCTCCAGCAGCCATCTCAGTTTTGTTTCTGGATGTTTCTGCTGGTAATATTCTTGGTTAGGCTGGGCCTGCTATTAGGATCTATTTTTTTGGTGAGGCAACTGCTTGAGCTGTAAGGTTTGGGCTGACAGGTGTGTCACTGGCTGAGAACAGATGGATTAGCCCGATGGTGGTGTTCCCTGTCCAATTAAAGCTGGAGGATAGGCTCAGCAACTGCCTAGATTCTTGGGTCAGGCTTACTAGGTGCTCAGGGACTCGGTACTGTACTCAGCGTTAGGCGGAAATATGAATTAGCCTCATTGCCTGGCGATATACCCAGGGCCTTCACAGCTCGTATGTGGTGACCCTGAGTCAGCTAATGGTCTGTGATGGTCCCGTGAGGCCACCGATTGTTTTTCTCAACAGACAGGGAAAGCCGCAGGCATTGCTCTCTGCTCACACGAAGCCCTAAGCAGGGCTGTTGGATGGGGTGGGCAGCTTCCCAGGTGGTCTCAAAAGTCTCATAGACTCTAGTCACCAGTAGTGAGTTTACAGGTTTGCTACCTGTCTGGTCGCAGTACAAGAAACACCTTCAAGGCTGCCGAGGCTCTTCGATCGTCCTGAGCCAGCTTACCGGTGGCCCAAGTTCCCAGCTGGACAGGGCCACCGGCTCCGCTCTGGAGGTGATGAGCTCTGGCTGCCCGCCTCTCAGCTCAGTTCTTGCTTGCTTATGCAGCTGCCAGATCTTCTCACTGGCCTTAATGGTCACCTGGAGCTGGAAGCCACACCACAGCCAGTGGGGCTGGGACTCAGCTCTCAGCCTGGGTGTGGGCACACCTGGCTGCAGGACCATCATCTGAACCTGTGACAGGCAGACCTGTGCCCCACCAAGTTCCCAGGTTGAACTGACTCCTGACTTCTTTCTTCAGATGGCAATGCCACAGGTTGGAACTGTTACCTGAGCACCGCAGGGAGGAACTCAGGTTACAAAGATCCAAGCTTGTCTTTTGGAAGCTCCTGACCTCTTGTTTTTCTGTCAAATTCCCAGTGGTTCAGCCCTACAGATCTCGCTCCAATTCCCTAATCCCCATTGGGAGAAAACAGAGAAGGGGCTCCATGGAAGTGACCCACAGTGCTGGAGGGACCTGGTTGTCACAAAGTGGGGATTTTTCCCCCCACTGGAGGAAATGTAGGCTCAAGGGGGACCTCCCAGCAGGACACTGTGCTGGCCTGGGGGAGGGGCAAAGCAGTCATGATGTAGCCACGTCTCCTATCCTTCTAATACGGGTTATCTTGGCCCTCTGTGGTCCAGGGGATGCTTCGGCCTCACCCCCATATTCTAGGGTTCCCTCAGTGCTGTGCCATCCATGAATAGCTGTCTCTGCTTGTGAGGGCGAGTGAAGCCGGGGAAGACCTGTGATCATCTTGATAATGTCATTCTCTCTAATTTCCTGTATCAGATATCAGAAAACCAAGATCATCTATAGATCTGGCTTTAAAATTTCAGAAAGATATAAAAGATTATAAAGTGTGTGCATTTGTGTATGTGTGTGTATACTATATTATTTATAATATTTACTATATGTTAACTGAATTTAACAATGCTACTAGGTGTAAACCAGTATCATGAACTCCACTTTATTTCAACAAATAAATGAGTAGGAATTACAAAAATACAACTATCACAACTATGTCTCATTCTCACTAACCTGAGTCAAGGATGTACAAGGCCCTCAGCTGTGCCTATGTCCTGAGGATGTAGAAGAGAGCAGCAGGACAGCAGTGAATGCAGGTCGTGCACAGCTGACGTCCGGGTGCAGCACTTCCAGGTCTCTGGATTGTGCAAATAAAAGCACCGGACACATAACTGAGTTGAATTTCAGAGACACAATGTGTAATTTTCTTAGTATATATGAATATACTCATGTCTATATCAATAATATCTCAATCCATATCAATGTCTATATCAATAATACTCATTGTTTATCTGACATCCAAATTTAACAGGACGCTTTATTTTTATCTGACAAAAAAATTCAAGACAAAGATTAAAAACTTTGAAGCTTATGAAAATCCCATTTTTGTAAAGATAAACAGCAATAGAAATACAAATATGGTCCTATTGATAATGTAAATTATTATAGTTTCTTCAGAGAGAAATTTGGAAATATTAGTAAAATTAATATATTCAGAAATATTGTTAGCAATGACTCCACTTCCCATCAACATTCTAGATAGAATTGAATATATACTCAAAGGAAAGTACAGGTTAAGCAGTGGTATAAAACTTAATTTTTCAAGTAGATATGTAATTCCATGCATTATTAAAACTGAAAAATCATATAGCCACGTTATCAAAATGGAAGAAAGTCACACAGAATTCTGAAAGGAAACTGTCCAACATACAAAGTGGTACTATATCTATTAAGACAGAAATGGGCATTAACGATATATAAGGCCAGGAATATTTAACAAAAATATAATCCTTTGTTAATCTCTGGAGGCAAAAAGCAAAAGACACATACTCAGATTCTGTGCACAAATACAGGAATCAATTTAATCTATAATTGTTTATTTTCAGATGAGTATTGGTCCACTTTCATTTAGTAATTATTTCATGTACTATGTTCTCACTGAAATATTTATGAAGCTAAGGAATATATATCATTGTAATACAGCCTGTGAACAACCCAAGGAGAAGCATGATGCCACAATCTCAAGGAAAGGAGGACATTATTTGGTAAATTTCAATGACAATTTGTTGACTAAAGCTTTAGTGGAGTAAATCAGAAGGCATTGTGCTCATGTGGTAAGTATATCTACCAAAACCTCAAGCCAGCCTCAGACTTAATGGTGAATCTTTATAAGCATAACCTGTATTACATACTGTAAATTATATACACATATATAATGCTAAATATTTTCTTTTAATCAGTTACATTAAGAAAAAGAGATTTAAGAAATGGTATAAAGAGACATTTTATCACTTAAATGTTATATTCTACAAGAAAGGATACTAAAGTAGGAAATGGCATTGTTGATTCAGGATAAGTATACAGCAATCAATAGATTTCTAAGTATCAGCAAAAGCAAAGACAAAGCAATGGAAACATGTTCCATACATGATAATAACAAGTGTAAAATACCCAGGACATTTCCATCTAATAGAGTTTATAACTCTAAGAATAGTTTTGAAGTGGGTAAGAAACATTAAAGACTATTTGAGAAGTATGTGTGGAACTTCAAGGTATTAAAAATGTCAACTCTGCCCAAGTAAAAACATGCTCACCCTGCAAGGATGTGGGAAGAGGGGGCACAGGGAAGAGGGAAGATGCAACTTTGAAGCCGAGTGAGTAATATTACAGGACGGAAGCCGTGTGTGCATCATGCACAGCACGGTGACTCTAGTTACTGAAACTGCACTATATGCTCCAAACTTGCTAGAAAGGTAGATCTCAAGTGTTCTCAGCACAGACAGACACACACAATGGTCACTGCGTAAGGTGATGAATATGTTAATGTGCAACATTGTGCTGATCATTTCTCAATGTATACATCTATCAGAACATCAAGTTGAAGACCTTAAATGTATACATTGTTTATTGGTTAATTTTATCTTAATACAGCTGAAAAAAATGGAAACTCATATGAGCACTGGAGCATCCTGTATGGAATTTACTAGCTCTATAACTTGGGGAAGTGAGTTTAGCAGTTCCACTGTGGAGGAAAGCATGAGGGTGTAATCATCAGATAATTAGAGTACCTGACACAGCGTATTTGCGAGTGTGCTGTGAGTTTGCACACATGCTAACCACAGTGACGTCACACAGGCAGCACTCAGTGTTTTTCCTGTCATTACGTTCAGGGAGATGGAGGGGAGTTTTAGGAAGTTCACAATAATACTCAATAAGGAGTCATAATTATCTACCCTGAATAAGTATTTTCATGTAGGTAAAGGAAGCTTATTCCATCTCTGCCCTAGGAGAGGAGGCAGAAAACAACACCGACTCCTATAATTAAAGGCAAGGGAATGGATTTCCCGCAGGGCTGAAAGCTTAAGTTTCTTTTTACGATGGGCAGGCTGAATAGGAATATTCTAGGAATGAAAATCCTTTTAATTTTTATTGACAATTCCTGTCTTTCTGGGAAGCTGGAGAGGATAAGGTTTCCACCAAACAACTGAGGGCAGGTAAGACTTTTAGAATCCATGAGCTAAAATGCAGGTGGAAATGTATTAAAAATTTGCTGCTTAGAAAGTCTCCAAAAAGATGGGTGTATTGTATTTGCCATGGGTATATTAATATGAACAGAAATGTTTACATTCATGGATATATACTTTTATTAAAATTAGAATAATATTGATACCTTGGGGGTTAAGTAATATAATAAACAGAATTGTATTTAAATGAGTGGTTTTAAGAATACTTTGGGCTATTCTCATCAATACTATGAGTAAATATCTTTTTATCTCTAGTTCATTACTTTGTCTTTCCATTCATTTTTCAATGATAAAATTTCCAGCTGTGTATTGGTAGCTTTTTTATCAAGGAAATATAAAAACATACAAGATATGTAATCTGCCTTTCCAGTAGCCTAAGGTCTCATTGGAATCATACAGTACGCGGACCCACTGTGAAATAGCCAGGTGAGGATGTGTGTGAGCTACTGTCAGACATTCTGTTGAACATGGAGATTGGTGATGATTGGTTTCACTTCTTAAGAGATTTCTGAGCTAAGGACTTACTGTCATTCTTTCACTTCATTTGCACCGTATGACTTTGAGGAATGTGGTATCACCCTCCTTGTAGGGACATGAGAACTGAGGCAGAGGGTTGCCCACCTCAGCTCAGAGACAGGACAGGTTGGATAAAGGTCCTTTTTGCTTTTTCTATTTCCACATACACTGGCACTCCTGAGGCAGTAGTGAAGGGTGGTGAGTAGGAAAAATGTGTCAGGTGAGAAAAAGGGCATAACTGAGTGATCTGAATAGCAGCTTCGGGCCACATTCTCTTTTTTAATAAGCGCAGTGCACAGTCACAGATACTCTACAGTTGCCTTGTGCTCCTGTAACACTTGCACGCCTGTTTTTAAATTGATTTACTTAGTTTCAAATAGACCAAACATTTTATAACAGCCATTTCTGTATACAAACATATTTTTTAATTGAAGTGTTGCAGATAAACAATCTCGTACTGGTTTCAAGTGTGCAGCACAGTGGTTGAACAGTTACCTGCACTATTATATCCTCACTCCCTCTGGTGCAGGTACTGCCTTGTCCACATAGGAAGGTGTTACAGAATCATTGACTATATTGTCTCTGCTGTACTACCATCCCTGTGACCAACTTAAATTGTGATTCCAAATTAATTTTTGCAAAATTTTAAGAAACACTGTTTTTACCAGTGGTATAAAAAAGTTGTATGACACCCTCTGATCATATGACCCTCTTGGTCCATGCTGGTGATATTGATTATCTCCACACTGCTACTTGCCTTAAATAATATACTATGTGTGGTTGAAATTCCTATGATAGGAATCATGAGGAAGATCCCATATGACCTACTTTCTTCAGTCAATATTCTCCTCTTGAGGCTCACTGATGATATGACCTGTACCTATGGTTATTAATCCCATTACTGAACATTTGGGTTGTATTTTCCTACTGCAGACAGAGTTGTTGTGGTCTGTCTTCCCAAATAAGAGGTTTTTTAAAAAATTTCTGATATTTTTGTATTCATTATATTTACTTCTATAAAAAAAATTGGTGTGGCATCCAGAGATGATTACCTGAATAGGTACAGGCTGACATCCTGTTACATAGAGCTTCGCTTATTCTTTGGAACGGATTCTGGT